GAGTGGAGTCATTTAGAGAATGGCATGTATCCAGGTTACCAAATTTGTTAGTGTTGCTCTGAGATTGAATTAGGAAAATTCCCACTGAGTTCTGGACCTCTTGATTTGTAATCTTCTTTAAGTTAGAGTTGCAGAAATATCATGGATTCCTACTTTAAAAATAACTTTCTTTTCTTTGTAAAAATAATTCAGACTAATTGTAGAAATTTGGGTAAATAGCAGAAGGCATAATGCTGAAAATTACCCATAATCCTTATTCAGAGATAATCACTGTAAACATTTTGTTGTATTTGCATGTATTTTTATATGCATAATTAGGATCATTGTGTATAAATTTTGTTTCTTCTTATTCCATTTAATATATGAATACTTTTTCTTGTGTTGAGAGCAACATGGACTTGTATTAGTTTCCTGTTGCTGCTGTAATACATTTCCACAAACGGAGTGGCTTAAAATAACAAATTTATTCTCATAGTTTTGGAGGCCAGAAGTCTGAAATCAAGGTATGGGCAGGACCGTGCTCCATGTGCACAGACTCTAGGGGAGAATCCGTTCCACTCCTTGCTCTCCCAGCCGCCGGTGCTGCCAGCATTCCTTGGCACGTGGTCTTGTCATTTGTATATCTGCGTCAGTTTTCACAGTGTGCGTCTGTGTGTTTGTGTGTGTGTAATCTGCCTTAAAGGACATGTGAATTTAGGTCCAGTCTAGATAATCAGGAATACAGCTTTATCTCACAATTCTTGACTTAATCACGTCTACAAAGACCATTTTCCCACATAAGATAACATTTCCAGGTTTCAGGGTTGTGACTTGATGTGGTTTGGCTGTGTCCCCACCCAAATCTCATCTTGAATTGTAGCTCCCATAATTCCCACATGTTGTGGGAGGGAACTGGTGGGAGATAATTGAATCATGGGGGCAGTTTTCCCCATACTGTTCTTGTGGTAATGAATAAGTCTCACAAGATCTGATAGTTTTATAAGGGGAAACCGCTTTTGCTTGGTTCTCATCATCTCTTGTCTGCCACCATGTAAGACGTGCCTTTCGCCTTCCACCCCATTGTGGTTGGGGAGGCCTCACAATGGAACTGTGAGTCCATTAAACCTCTTTTTCTTTATAAATTACCCAGTCTCGGGTGTGTCTTTATCAGCAGTGTGAAAATGGACTGATACAGGATCTGACTTCTCTGGGGCCATTATTCAGCCTTCTACGGGGTTCTAGACAATGGACTCTGGAGCCAGACTGTATGGGATCTAATCCTAGTGCCTTACTAGCAGAATAACCTTGAGCAAGTGCCTTAACTCTCGATACCTCTGTTTCTGATCTGTAAAATGGGAATAATAATACTTACCTCCTTGAGTTGGTATACAAAATACAAAGATTAATATGTACAGAACACTTAAAAAGCTCAGATTAGTGACTGGCCTGTGTGAGGAGTAGCTGTTATTATTGTAGTTGTTATTTTTATTAACAATTCTTTGTCAGATGCCATTTTTAATGGCTGCGTAAGAGTTTTTAAATGAATCTACCATAATTTGTCTAATTATATCCTTTTGTTGGAAAAGTTTTTTTTTCATTTTTTATCTCAGGTATGATGTTGCCATGTAGCATTAAGTTTTGTTCCACTTTATTCCTTAGTGTAGAGTTCTGGAAATGGAATTACAATGTCAAAGGATGTGTACAGTTTTAAGCCGCTTAATGAGAATTTATTAAATTGCTTTCCAGAAAGTTGAATGATGAGAGTACCTGTTTTATCATAGCCATACCTGTTATCGCGTGTTACCATTTTCAATACTCTGAGGTCCTTTGGCATAGTCTGCCCTTTAAGGCTGAAGTGTAACAGCATAGGGCCCCTACACGTTGTGGTTCATTCAGTGAGGAGTATTCTGACCATGCAAGAAAACCTCTAACACACAATGACATCCTTGCTTTGTGAAGTCACCCAAGTGCCTTCTCCATTCTGTTATGAAGCCTGGAAACTTGCTGGGTGTTTTTGAAGTTAGTGGGAGGGCTGTTGGGGGAAAGGTTGTTACTAGCAGGGTAATGCTAGGTTTACAGGGACTTCAGTAGCATAGTTTTGCTTCTGTTCTCAAATGTGGACATTTAAAACTGAGCATTTGATGGGATGAGGAAGGTACATTTGAACAGAAAACAGATTAATGTAATCACTTTGCAACTAAGGCCATGTGAGGGACAGGAGTATGGGGTGGGGAAGGGGAAGCTCCTGCATTGCCTGCCAGATTATCTGGGAGATCAGCCCTGGGAAAGGCTAAGGGAACAGTCTGCATCTGCACTTTGCCCCACAGGTCACCTGCTAGCCTGCTCTCCTTTCTTGGTGCTGCCCATTGCAGTCTGGTCCTGTGCAGCCCAGGCCTCTGGGCTGTAGAGAGGCATAGCAGGGGTTCCGAGTGTGTGTGCTCAAGGGAACCTGCTACAGTTGAGGTCATCTGGTCCACTGCTGTTTAGGCTATTTAGAAACACAGGGTGGGCTGTGTTTCCCCAGTGGAAATGTACAGTATACACCATGTGCAGCAGGTCACGCACAAATTCAACAGTACCCAAACTGGCTGTAGTTGGCTAAATGGTGGCCCCAAAGATGTGCTTAGATTAGAACATCCCTGGAACCTATAAATGTTAATTGAAAAGGGGGCTTTGCAGATATGACTTAAATAAGGATCTTGAGATGAGATCATCCTGGATTATTTTGTAGGCCCTAAGTGCTATCACAGATATTCTTATAAGAGAGAAGCAGAGGGAGATTTGACACAGAAGAGAAGGCAGTGTGCCAAGAGGAGAAGGCATCTGTCAAGATGGAGGCAGAGGTCGGAATGATGTGGCCACAAGCCAGGGAATGCGAAGCCACCAGAAGCTGGAAGCAGTGAAGAACGAGTTCTCCCCTACAGCTTCCAGAGGGAGCATGGCATTGCCTATTCCTTTATTTCAGACTTCTGACCTTCAGAACTAATACATTTCTTGTTTTAAGCCATCCGGTGATAATTATGGCAGCCTCAGGAAACTCATATACTAGTCTGTGCCCTGTCCAGGACAGTTCCACTGTTTATGTGCTTGACTCTGTAGCAATATCATATTGCTAGAAAAATTTCTGAGCACTTACTCCTAATTTTTGTATTTATCTGGTCCTGACCCAGCAGCAGAGTTGGCACTGGTTTGCAGAACCCCTGTTGAGTACCACTGATCTAGTCTCCATCATTTTATGAATGAAGAAACTGAGGCCCAGTGAGAGGAAGTACTGTAGGTCTGGGATGAGCAGCAGGTGCTTCTGCTCCTTGGAATAATTTAGACAGGGCCAGATCTGGGGAGAGCAGATAGCAGAGTTGCCCTTCGGAGGCCAGCTAGTGTCCCTGTCGCTGTTCTGTACCCTGTTCGGTGAAAGCTGATGCTTCAGTGAGCCTCTGGAGCAACGAGCTGCTCAGAAGGCCTAGAAACTAGGGCAAACTGGTAGAGCCTTTGCTGAAGCTACTGAGCCAACAGCAGCAGGCAAAGAACCCTGTCAAGGGTAGAGGTCATGGCTTGCTAGTGACTTAATTTCCTGATGACTGCTTCAGTCTTTATAGACCCTCTGGCTCAGGTCATATTTTTCCTCTGGAGCCCAATTTGAACTTTCCATATTTTCAGAATGGTAATTATCTCTTAGGGAGTGGAGACTAGACTACACGCTGCTTTGATAAAGTCCAAACTCCTTTACTTGGCATTCATGACTCCTGAATAACCAACTCCCTTCCCCTTTCCAGTTCTGCGTCCCATCCCTCCCTTTTACCTACCTTAATCTCTGGACTTCACCAAAATCAGTGCTCCCTAGTAGAAGAGAGTACAAGATGTTAGGTTCTTAAATCCCCACAGTAGGTAAGTTCGTGATTGCCCAACTCAGGAACTAATGGAAAAATATGGCGAGGATAGAGGTTGGGTATCCATCTGTGAAGCTCTTGGGGGGATAAAAAAACAACAACTGTTTACATTTACTGCAAGAGAATATAAAGGCAGCACAGCAGCCAGTACCAACCACTAACATGAACAAAGTCATGTGAGACCACCTGGCCCAGTGGAGCAACCAGATGCCCATAGCCACATACATAAGCCAGGCAAGACCAGAAGAAAAAGCCCAGCTGAACTCAGCACTGATTGCTGACCCACCACACCTTGAAATGAAATGGTTTTTTTTTTGAAACAAAACAACGTCACACTAAACCAAGATTTATCTTTACATATGTTAGTAATGATAGGCATTGTACCATTACTCAATTATGTTTTGCTTGTTATGGACACTTTTTGGAGCCTCCCACCTTTTTATTTTCGATGAAACTCTTATTTATTTTGCTTTATGAGTAATACCCATATTAAAAGCCCCTTTCCCCCAGTATCTGGGCTTCCAACTTAATATTTAATGCCACTGAGGTTTTGAGTTAATTTGTTGGCTGTCCTTTGTGGCTCTCACACATCTCTTCCTTTCCTCTCTGATGTTATGGGACAGTAGTTCAGATGCCTGGGTCACTTTCTCATCATCTTTTATTTTTCCCAAGGCTTTGGCTTAAAAGCCTCTGTTCCTTCACCTTCCACTTTCGTTTCTTTTTCTAGTCCCAAACCTGTATCCCTCGTTTTTAAATCAGTGGTTTTTGATTGCAGGGAATAGCCATGCTCTCATGGCAGCTTAAGTTAGCAGTGAGTTTGTTGTAGTAATCCCAGGAATACAAGGAGCAAAGCTTGACTGCCTGCTGGGCACAGGAGTGGGAAGGCCCCTCTAACTCCACGCAGGGGCTGCGTGCTCCTGCCCATCACACACATGCATGCATGTGCCAGTGTATCTGTCTCTGTCCCCTTCTGGAGCAGGACAGTGATAAGTGTCTATCCCTAAGCCAGTTGGGAGAGGGGGACCGTGTGACTGCCCTCTCAGCATGGGCTGAGGGGCTGGGGGGTCCCAAAAAGGAGTGTGGAGGGATACCTTCCCAGCACCTATGATATCCTTTCTTATAATTTCTCAACAGGAATAACTCAAGTCACCTGTGCTGGAAATCAGTTTGCTGAAATTATTCAATCAGCGATTCTTGAAGTTGAAGAAAAGGTAAACATTCTCTTATAAGGGAAACTCATTGTCTGGGGAGAGGTTACTGTCCCTGTCATTCCTCCCATATGCCCAGTTTTGTGTGTAATATTTTACCCCTTCTCTCTGCCTGGCCAAGTTCCTCTTCATCCCTCAAGATCTTTATCAAATGCCACCTTTGTCCTTTGTGGAAGATCTCCTCCAGGCTGCGGGTGATTTCTCCTGCTGTTGAACCCCCACGACACTTTCACCTTCCTGTGACGTTTGTGTTCTCGTTTGCCCTTCCCCTGATGGTCTCACCCTTCCTCTCTTGGCCGGTTGGGTAGAGGTCCGTGACACACCCCCATCATAGTACTTACTTCCACACTTTATTCTCGTTGCCTGTTTTTGTGTTTTCCCCAGTAAGCTCCTCGAGGGCGCATCTGAATTGTGCCTGGGACACAGTCAGTACTCCATAAATGTTTCTCGAATGACTAATGTAGGAGCCTCCCCACAAGAGGCCTGCTCCTGTGTGGACCCACATCATACCCCCAGCACGCCTCCGTTACTGGGCCTGTACTAGAAATCATTCTTAAATACATTATGATCTTTGAGCATTCATCCGAAATTCCTGATCTTCTCTGGGTGTCCTTTGGCTATTGATGAAATGAAGCTAATAGCAAAGCTTTGGTATCTGATTCTTTTTTTTCACATTCGATTTTGGGCCCATGTTAAGAGCAAGAATCCAGAAGTGGAGAGGAAGGTGACAGGCAGAGCTGGATGCTAGTGGTCCCTGGAGCACAGCTCCCCAGCCCACTTCCACCCCTTGTGGCGGGTGTGAGTGGGGGTTGCGTGTGGTGGGGTTTAGGTCTCGCTGTGGTTGTGGCCCCTCCTGTCTGCTGCACCAGTGGATCACCTTCTCCATCTGTGCCATGCTCTCGACTGCTTCACTCAGTGACTTTGTGTCTTAATCCACCTCCCTGCCCCCAGCCTTTGTCCTTTAAATGAACAAGTCAGCAGGTTCCTTTTCTCAAACTGTTTACTGTAACAGCTAAAGATCCCAGAAAAGTTTCTTGTTAATTTTATGAGTTTATACATCATAGCCAGAGGGACAAAGCATAGATCATGGGTGTTCCCAGAGACACAAATTTCCAGAGATTGTTTTGCATATTCATTTGCGCATTGTTGTCTGGGTTGGACATGTGTATTGGGCTTCAGTGTGAGGCTTTTAATATGTATATCCTGTTATCAATAAAAAAATTATCCAAGCGGTTGAATCCTGTGAGACTTCGCGAGTGTGTGCAAATCAAGTATACTTGACTTTTCAACCTCTTCCTTCAATGTAACTTTTATACAAAATAAATAATCAATTGACAGTTCTCAAAAAAGAAAAATCAGTGTAGTTGGTCACCATCATCTTGGAAGACTTGACTCAGCCCTTTCTGCCTATAACAGTAACCAGCAATTGTCTCTCACATTGGTAGAGTGCTTTCTCTTTTGCAAGGTGCTTTGACACACATCGGCAGATTTGCTTTTCCCGCCAGTCCTGGGAAGCAGGCAGAGGCGAGTGGTAGCCTCTCATTTTCAAAGTCAGGAAATAAGCTCAGAAGTTCGATGTCTTTCATAACGTCATGAGCTGATGTGAATGGGGTTCAGTTTTTCCCACCCCATCTCATCTTGGTCCCTCTCCTTTGGAAGCCATGGCAAACTAATAGTGTCACAAAACCATCTCTTCCCCACCCTCAGTGTTCCTTTGAGGGAGGGGAGTCTCGACCTTCTGTTGAGAGTCTAACCCTGGTGCTCCCTCCACCCTCAGCCAGGCAGCTTTCTTGAAAAAGCAGATATGTTCCTCCTGAGACCTTCCAGTCAGTCTTGAAAGTTTTGTTTTTGTGAAGGCTAATTTAAATACAAGAAATTTAATTAGTTTACATGAATGCTGTATTGTCTTACTCTGAGTAAACTGGAAGACACTAACAGGTTTGATCAGCTTAGTTCAGCTGTATCTGATGATGTTCTTTCCTTTTCTTCTCTTTTAAATAATTGCAAATGGTTTCTATCAATCAAGGCAGCAGAGCACAGTGCTTTATTGCCTTGTGGAATTGTTTAGTTAACTGTGATTTTTTAAAAATGGCTCAACTTTTAATGAAAGAGCAGATTGTCAAGTGACTTTTTGATTTGTTCTTTGATGGGGAAATGGGAAAATAGAACCATCATAATAAAAAACCAGCTTCTATTCTAGAAGGGAGGCTATTAACTTAAGAGCAGGATATGATCTCAGTGAATTGTTGTTTTCCTAAAACAGGCCACTGTCTCTCGTCTTTTTATTTTGAAACCTTCCTCTGATACTCTTTTAGATTAACATTTTCCTATGGGAAACTGTAACCTGGAATCCCCCAAACAGGTTGGTACTCCCCATAGTGTAAGCATTGGGGCCCAAGACCAGATATCAACACCCTTTTACTGGGAATCCAAAACATCAATATCGAGAAATCTGCAAGCCTATTGTGATGCTTGTAATCAAAGGAAACATCAGGCTTCACATTTTACTTACAGTTGTGGCATGATGCAAGCACCATTTTACTGTTAAGGTTATTGTTTTCTTAACCCCAAATCTGGATCTTCATTAGTGAAGATCCTCATAGAGCTACCCACATGAGGTAGCCTCTATGGGGTTTCAGTTGGGGTCCCAGGTGCTCCTTAGTGGTTGTGCCCACCTTGAATTGGCACAGTGGCAGGACCTCCAAGCACCATGAGAGGATGGACAGGGGTCACCTCTGAGGCTGGCCCAAGGACTCCTCTGTGTTCTGTAGCATTCTTACACCCTTTTCACAGTTAGCAAACTTGATATCTCATGGGCACCTCAAGCTTACTGTGTCCAGATTTTAACTCTTGGTCTGCTTCTACGATAGTCCGTTTCTAGGCCTCCTCCCTTCCCTCATCTTATTAAGGTGCATAGTTGTTAACTCACTTTGTCAAGCCAGAAACTGGGAGTTCATCTGTTAATACTCGTCTTTTTCTTCCTCCAAATCACCAAGTCCTAATGCTGCCTCTCCTAAAGTGGACATTGAGTTCATCCATGGCCTTCCTGTATCCACCCCCAAGTCCAAGCCAACGTCATCCTTTGCCAGGTGACTGCCAAAGCCTTTTAACTGGCTGCCCTGCCTGCTTCCCTTTTTCTTCTGTTCCTGTCATCACTTTGGACCCAATGCAATCTTTAAAAATTCTTGTCAAATCATTTCACTACCTTGCTTGAAACCTGTTGGTGACCTCATCCTGCACTTGATGAAACACATAAGCCCAGTGCAGCTCGTGGAGAGGACTGCTCTGTCTGGGCCCCAGGCCTGGCTTCAGAGGCACAGCATTGTTGGCACCACGTTGTTATAGCTTGTGAGACACTCTCCCCTTCACTCTTGGCTTCCTTGGAAGATTGCAGTGACTTCAATTTTCCAGATGCAATAAAATATCTCAAGCTCTCAAAGGTGTACTTAGAATGAATATTGTGTTCTGGGAAATGGAACAAGGGGTGATTTGTTCCTCCAGACACCAGAATAACAATTCCTAGAACACAGAGGTGGACCACTATTTCATTTGGAACCTTAATAAGTTAATAGCCAATAAGTAATCAACTGAAATTGCAATACTCCTTGCTACTCCCCAAGCAGCCTCCCCACCCTCCACCCACATATTTTGACATAAAAATGTGCAGCAGCATTTTAGCTCAGGAAATCTTGAATGAAACTTGGTTCTAGGTTGGTACAAGAAAAGACTGGCATTCTAGTATACAAGGGAAAAAGAAACAAAGCTAAATATTAGCATATAGCTTTCCTTTTTAAATATGTTTCTCCTATCTTGAAGCAGATTTGTTTTCCTTAGTCTTGAGCTTTACTCCTATGTGTGTGTGCGTGTGCAGCCATGCACACACCTGTAAAGCATGTACCTGAATTTCATCTTAGGCATGATACTGTCCGTTCTCAGGCCTTCCCCAAGGTAATTAATGGTAATACTGAAATTCCAGCTGGATGTTTGGTACACTGTGGCCTCAAGACAACTTTTCTATGATCTCGAAATTGAAATGTTTGGTGGGTCCCCCTGATGAGTTACAGCAAAGATTGTAATGGGAATACTAGCAAAGGTGATTTTAATAGTGTCTTGAGCGTTGTGATAGAGTTTATTACCCAGAGTCATGGGAACACAGAGATGGCCCCTCACTCACCCTGGGGATTGGAAAGTCATGTGACCCTTGAGATGGGTCTTGAAAGAGATGCCAAGTACCAAGTGCTTGTTACTTTTTTGCCAAGCAGAAGGAAGGCTTGGGAGAACAGGGGTGCAAAGGGCATTTCAGACAGCTGCGTGGAGAAAGGCCTGGGAGGTCAGCTAGAGCATGGCATGCCAGAGAACCCCGAGGAGGGTCGCTGCTGCAGTGGAGGGCATGGTGGGGTGGGAGTTGAGTGCAAAAGGTGGGCAGGAGCCAGATCATGCAGGTCCTTCCTTGGGGACCAGGTTAAGCAAGGGATTTGGATTTTGTTCTAAAGGCAGTGGAATGCCACTGTAGAATTAAATATTAGAGAGTTACTGGATCGGGTTTGTCTTTTGCAATAGGGATTCTGTAGGCATGGTCTGTACTAAGACTTCTCCTGAAAGTCAGTGATCTGATTCAGATATGCAAGTCCTTTTATTAGTTCTAATGGGTGTGAGACTTAAAATTCCACAGACTTGCACATTTTAGGTGTGACTGTAGGCTGGATGTTGCTAAGTGACTGACATGTGATTGGTGTTTAGTGCCCTGCTGGAGTTTCTGGATGATTGTACTGCCCTGGGTTGCCATGCTCAGCAGTGGGGCATTCCAGGTGCCTGCTGAGTATGGACACAGGCAGTTGGATTCCTGCTGGTTTGGAAATGGCACTCTGACAGTGCAGCGTCCGTGAGGTCTTGAATTTGTGACAGCAACTAAAAGTTGCTGGGAATCTAGAGGTCTAATTATACTGTTATCTTGGCTTTCTCATTATTTGGTTAACATGATTTGGTTGGTTGTTAACCCTGCA